TATCAAGGATATTAAGATAAAGCTTCCAGATTTAAGTAAAAACCAATCAATTGCCATTTATCAAGCATTTCTGGTTAGAAAAATTTTGTCTACATAATTGAGCAGTGTAAGGTTGGGCACTTCCATAACCACTGTAGAAAAGAACAATTTACCCCTTGCTGTGCAAACTATGTGTTCGGAATGTATAACAATCATGTTGTAGTTTAATCAAAATGTTATTTGTAATAATGTTGCAAGAGAGAGTACCTTTTGTTGTCATCTCTAGCGAAATATTTTTCTACTTACTTTTTCATAGCTACAACTTTCTAGTGCTGCGTGATTTCTTTGGATTTCTGAAGGAGGTACTATACCCACGTGTGCAACTGTGTATGGTGAGTGTTACTCGACAATAAACAAGTGGAAATCCAGCTCCGGTGTTTATTATTCCTTAACTCTGTCCTTTTATGTTTATCTCACCTGATGTGTAAATGTTGACAAGTATCATTATTAGATGAGAGACATGTCTGATTCTCCTTGGATAATGTATGCAGATAGTCCAAATACAGTGGACCCCCGCATAGCGAACGCCTTGCATAGCGAACATTCCGCATAGCGAACGCTTTGTCCGCTAAAATTTTGCCCCGCATAGTAGACAAAAACCCGCTCAGCGAACTTCGTTCGAGACGCGTCCAATGTGGGCCCTCAGCCAGCCTCACATGTGCCGCCCGTCCCATTGTTTACCAGCTAGCCTCCGCGGTAACATTCAAGCATACACTCGGAATATTTCGTATTATTACAGTGTTTTCGGTGCTGTTTGTGGAAAATAAGTGACCAGGGCCCAAGAAAGCTTCTATGCCAACCCTACACCCCAAAGGGTAAGAATACCCATTGAATTAAGAAAGAAATCATTGATAAGTATGAAAGTGGAGTACGTATTCACCGACCTGGTCGGTTGTACAAGAAACCAAAAATCAACCACGCTTCTATTTTGGGCAAGAAAACGGCAATCAAGGAAGCTGTTGTTGCCAAAGGTTTAACTGTGTTTTCGAAACAAAGATCGCAAGTGATGGAAGATGTTGAGAGCTCTTATTGGTGTGGATAAATGAAAAACAGCTAGCAGGAGATAGCGTCCTCAAGCGTCATATGTGGAAAAGGCTGGAAGTTTTCATGACGATTTAATTAAAAAAATGCCTGCAACTAGTGATGATGTGAGTGAATTTAAGGCCAGCAAAGGTTGGTTTTGGAGAATTTAAGAAGCGTAGTGGCATCCATAGTGTGATACGGCATGGTGAGGCTGCCAGTTCGGCCACAAAGCGGCTGAAAAATATGTGCATGAATTCAAGGAGTACATAGAAACTGAAGGACTGGAACCTGAACAGTGTTTAATTGTGATGAAACAGGCCTGTTTTGGAAGAAAATGCCCAAACAGGACCTACATTACTCCCGGAGGAAAAGGCACTCCCCGGGACATAAGCCTATGAAAGACAGGCTTTCTCTTCTCATGTTTTGCCAATGCTACGGTGATTGCAAAGTTTTGCCTTTTTTAGTGTCCCTCTGAAAAATCCCAGAGCGTTCAGGCAAAAAGAATGTCCTCAAGGATAATTTGTGTGTGCTGTGGAGGGCAAACAGTAAGGCATGGGTCACTAGGGAATTTTTCTATAACGGTTACACCATTTCATTTGCCCCCAATGTGAAAGGGTTACCTAACTGAAAAGAAATTAGACCTTAAGTGCCTCCTGGTGTTAGACAATGCCCCTGGTCATCCTACAGACGTGGCAGAGCGACTTTATGGGGACATGAGCTTCATTAAGGTGAAGTTTTTGCCTCCTAATACCACTCCTCTCCTGCGCCATGGACCAGCAGGTCATTTCCAACTTCAAGAAAACTGTACACAAAAGCTCTGTTTCAAAAGTGCTTTGAAGTGACCACAGACACTGGATTGACTCTAAAAGAGTTTTGGAAGGATCACTTTAATATCCCCCAGTTGTGTAAACCTTATAGGTAAGGCTTGGGAGGGAGGACTAAGAGAACCTTTAACTCTGCTTGGAAGAAACTGTGGCCAGAATGTGTAGACAAAGGGATTTTGAAGGGTTTGAGGCTAACCTGAGAGGAGTAGTATACCAGTTGAGGAATCAATTGTGGAATTGGGGAAGTCCTTGGGGTTGGGGGTTAGTGGGGAGGATGGAAGAGTTGGTGGAGGAGGACAATGAAGAACTAACCACTGATGAGCTGTAGATCAACTTCAAGAGCAAGAGGCCCGACCTGGGAAACTGGTTCAGAGGAGGGGAGAGAGAAATTGAAGGAATTGCCTACTTCAAAGATTAAGGAAATGTGTGCAAAAAGGCTTGAAGTGCAAACCTTTTTTGATGAAAAACACCCTCACACAGCTATTGCAAGCCGTGCTGGTGACTATTACAATGACACTGTTGTGAAACACTTTAGGAAAGTCATAAAGGAACGAGAGGTACAGGCCACTATGGACAGATATCTTGTGCGAAAGAAGTCCAGTGACTCTGAAGCTGGCCCTAGTGGCATTAAAAGAAGAAGGGAAGTAACCCCAGAAAAGGACTTGCTACCTCAAGTCCTAATGGAAGGGGATTCCCCTTCTAAACACTAACACTCTCTCTCCCCTCCTCCCATCCCATCAATCATCACCAGATCTTCAATAAAAGTAAGTGTCATGTAATTGTGCATGCCTTTTTCAGTTTGTGTGTACTAAAATTAACATTTTTTTGTGGTAAAAAAATTTTTTTTCATACTTTTGGGTGTCTTGCACGGATTAATTTTATTTCCATTATTTCTTATGGGGAAAATTAATTCGCATAGCGAACATTTCGCATAACGACCAGCCCTCTTGCACGGATTAAGTTCGCTATGCGGGGGTCCACTGTACTACATTGCTGCAGGTGCCTGACCAGTAGTGGTGGGCACAGTTCCGCTAATTAGCACAACTGACTTTTTGTTTAGTGGATCAGTGTTTCCGCTTATTTCGGAAACCGTCGGTGGACCAATTAGCTTCCGCTAAATAAAGTTCCGCAAAAAAAAAATTCATACGATGTTGGTAGTCGGAAAGCAATGCCTTTTCAACGGCGCACATGTTTGTTCCTGTCTACTGTGGGCATTTCTCCAACAGTCAGTCAGGCACACTTTTGGGTGACTATGTATAAATATGACTTGTCAGTGCAGCAGCAGCATCTGAGCAACATTGTTATAGTCTTCAAGTGTCAGCAATCACTGGGGTGTTTTGTCACTTATTGTTATAAACAGAGGAGACATTTCTGTTCCGCCTGAGGGCATTGTTGAGGAGTCTGCAGCAGCTGTGGTTGAAGCAGAGGTCACTAAGGCTGAGGGCCAGGGGTCGCAGAACCTGTGGCCTCACTTGGATGATTATTTTGTCTAAGTCAAGGGATATGAAGAACGCCAATATTTTGTACTTCCTGTGCGTCATGTGCCAGCCCAAGGAGACCATCATCAAGGGATGGGCGGTGAGTATCTACAACTTTAAGTCGTATGCTAAGATTAAACACCCAGCGCATGCCATCAAGTTTGAGGAGAGAATCAAGGCTGGATCTTCCCGTGGAAAACATGGGCAATCTTCTTGTGGCAGCATCACAATTAAGATAAATGCAAACATGAACAGAAACAGAATAAAATGAACAAATACAATGAGTAACTGGAACTAATGAAGAACACAGTCAGCTATCTGACTCGATCTGTTTGGGTGCTATGGGGCTTCAGTACAGCAACAAGTGTGTCCTTGTTGGTTGCTCGCGTTACATCACAAAATTAAACAGTCGCTATTTTTGCACTAGCGGCACTTGACCATCATATGACCTTGGCATTCTATATCTTATTAGGAAGCTCTCCAGGTCTGTTCTAAAAGCCTTAAAAAGCCCAAAAACTAAACCGAATCTGAATTCTTGTGAAAAAGTTAGTGGTTAGCGTTAGCTTCTGCTAATTTTTTCAGCCATTTAGCAGTTTAGCGTTAGCAGAGCTAATTTTTTAGTTAGCAGATTAGTGGTTAGCGAAACTAACTTTTCGGTTAGCTATGCCCACCACTGCTGACCAGCCAAAATATGATGTCTATGTGGGCAAGCAGACAGACTACTTGCAGCAATAGCCTGGTAAGTAATAGTCATGGGGATGTATTAAATCCATTGAGGTTATACAGCACCTCGGGAATGGAAACCACCCAAAAGGACGAAGGAGGCTCCAATTCCTTGAAATGAAAGCCTTTTCAGCAGCAAGGCCCCTACCATTATAGGGTAGGCCTCCTGTAGTAGGGTACAACAACAAATATTTAAACAATATAATTTATTTTACATAAACAGTATCCATTGTATCATAAAATATACTAAAAACATCTGGCAACACTGAGAAATTTTCTAACCTATGTAAAATTACATCACTAATAAATTCACTTATAATCAAATTAACCCATCACAGTGTAACAAATAAATTACATGAAACCTACACTGAGTTACTGAAGTTTGTTACACATACAGAATGTATGTGCGGTCACTGAAAGGCCACAATTCACCTGTACATTAATATCACGAGTACTTTAATTCCTACACAAAGATTAAAATAAATGTGGTATATATGTATACAGACATACATACACCTCTTGTATATGTATAAATATACAACACACTTCAGTGCATATACAATTTCCAGAGGTATAAATTTTTCAAATGGTCATCAAATGAATGAATGATGGAGAATGCATTTCCTTTTCTAGGGTCACCATACCTTGGTGGGAGATGACTGGTGTGTGGAAAAAAAAAAATCAGTGTTGACCTCATATACTGTTGTCATATTTGTCATCTTTCTTTATCTGCAGTAATGCAACATAAACATTTTTTTCTGTTTCATATTTTCTTGTGTATACTGCAATTTATTTGGATATCTTACTTTGGTAACCACCAGTGAGAGGAAAGGAAGAAACTTGGAACAGATAAACAGGCATATTATTATTATAATCAAAAAGAAGCGCTAAGCCACAGGGTATCAGCAAACAGGCATAGGTTGGTGCATTTTTGCAAATGTAAAAATAATAATGACATGTTTATGCAGTTATACAATGCTGAATTTCTAATAAGCATTAGTTGCAATATTTAAAATAAATATTAATAAACAAGACAATGTAGTAAACAATTGAAATGAAAGCTAGTAATGTATTTCTTAAGCAAAACACAAAAACACATGATCCACTAGCTCAGTACACTGCACAAAGAAAAATATTTATCTTGGAACAAAATTTTTACTTTTAAACCAATATGCCATTATTTATCAAAAATACACAATTTTAACATTTGTATGAACAATTTTAATGGTTGCATGAACTGTCTTTAGTATATTTTCTAAAAATCACCATCTTCAGACTTCTAATAAACTATTGGTATATGCATTTTGTTTGTCAAATTACAGTACTGCATTTACTTTGAATATGAAAGAAAAAGTACTTATTCATATACAGGTTGCAAAAAAATCCTGCAATTCATATTTATTAGATTATTTACTAACCTTGTGTAGAACATGTAAGTGGCCCATCAACCAAGAGATGGCAACACCTTTCAGTTGTATTTTAAAAAGAATTGGCAAGTATTTTATGTCATCAAATCTGTAAGTGCCTTTTCCCTTTTTCTCCTTGGAAGCTGCAAAACTCAAAGGTCAAAGGTGTTTTTTCAAAAGGAAATTTAAAAATTTGTTTTAAAAGAATTATTCAACCAAAAATGAGAGGCAATAGATATTAGAATGAGCTAATGCTCAAATGAAAATAATAATATCAAAGAATCAGAGTTGTAAAACTAAGATGAACTGACAGAGCTACTCATTGCTGTTATGCACAGAAAATGCATTACACAGTGAATGGATGCTTTCCACTTGAAGTACAGGACCAGTAGTATTCTCACTGTTCTGTTCTGATTCACAATAGCATACAAATATCTATAAGCCTAGTACAGGTTGACCATCACTAATCTGGCATCATCGGGACCTGTAGGGTGCCAGATTAGTGATTTTGCTGGATTACAGAGTGGTCAGGTTAGAATACACTTAACCCAATGGCGATATTTACGCATTGGCGATTTCACCCACTTTATGCCCTATTTTTGGCCCATTCCATTGTTTCAGTCTGCCAAACTCATAGCTATTTCACTAGAACTCCATTTGTTCTATCAATTGAGTACAAGACACCACCCATTTAACTATTTCAACTACTCAATAAAGTGGCCAGAAATCAGTAATTTGGCCAATTTCACACAAATTTCAAGAGATGCTAATTTCAAAACAGGGTCCAGAATAAACAATGCAGACATTCCTGGCACTAAAATAACATTTTCTCTGTTCATTAGTCATGTCTCCAGACTCCTCTTATATTACACTTGCTTTCAATTTTGAATTTTTATTCAAACAAAAAATAGAAGATTCACTGCTATGCAGACTACTGCATTACTGTAATAACTGTATAAATAATGTCAACCCATTCGTGACAGTGTATTAGACCGGCCAGATGGACACGGTCTTGAATATCAGCAAAAATCGAACATTTCCGCTGCTTTGAGCTCAATTTCAAGGTACTTTCCATCGTGAAACCAATCAAAATCATATCTATTTCTGTAATATACCTTCCATTGTATCAAATGAGACCCAAAAATGAGAATACAACCATAAAATCCATACGAAAATACACTGCAAAGTTGCTGTCTTACAAAATAAACAGAGTCGCAGTTTATTCTCATTATGCACTGCATGCTGCACGATTTTTTTATATAGTGCACACTTACTACACAGACCTATTCTCTCACATATAGGCCCAAATTTACTGGTCATAGCTAATGAGTGAGCTGAGCTCATGGCGACCAACAGTGGCTTCAAAGCCACCGTATCTTTTATGAACAATGTATGGTGTATGTGTTTTACACAACAAGAAACATTTATTCATTGGAACCATGGCTACGGCTAAAAGTGAGCAGGTTATAACAATAAATGGAGAAAACCAAACTGGAATGACTTATGCAGCAAGTAGTGCCACCAAACAGTAGCAGCAGGTGGCGACCCCGGAAATTTGAAATTATGCTAGCCGAAATTAGTGCCGGATTACTATTTGCCGCATTAGTGATGGCCAACCTGTAGCGAACATAATGTTAAAAAAATTCTGTTTCTCTTTCTTTATAAAAGAGCATCAAGTATTCCCAGACTACAATTTTACTATAGTTTCACAAAATTAAGTATAAAAATTGGAAGCCTCTTTAAAGCTTTTACTAAAGAAGAATTACAACTGGCTACCTGTAGAAGAACACAGTGAACTTGAGTTCTCAAAATATAAGCATCTCTCTCATATCAAGCCTCACCTATCCATCACCATTATGTCTGTCTTTGCTCTTAATAGGTTTGCTCTGACATGGCTTCAGAAATTTTAGACATGCTTGGAGCACGACCCAAGAGGTACAGTATATAAAGCACTTTTTTAATTACCCACACCTTCAGAGCTTCTTTCCTGTGTAAAAAAAAAAATATATATATATTAGAAATTACTAACCTATTGCCTTTGATAAGCAAAACATTAACCCCTTGACTGTCGCAACCCCAAATCCTGAGGTGTTGCAAAATTTCAAAAAAAAAAAAAAACTCTTATGAAATGATAGAGAATCTTTTCCCGATTGTAATGACACCAAAAGAACGAAATTTGATGGAAAACTGACAGAATTATGCTCTCGCGAAGTTAGCGACCTCGGCGATATATTTACAAATTGGCAATTTCACTCACTTTGAGCCCTATTTTCTGCTAATTCCATTATTCCAGTCGACCAAACTCATAGCTATTTCTTTAGAACTCCATTTTTTCTATCGATTAAGTACAAGAAACTGCCCATTTACTGATTTCAACTACCCAATAACATGGTCAGAAATTTGCAATTTGGCCAATTTCATGAAAATTAAAAAATATGACAATTTCAAAATAGGATCCAGAATGAACAAAGCAGACGTTCCTGGCTCTAAAATAACATTTTCTTTGTTCATCAGTCACGTCTCCAGGCCACTCTGATATTACTCTTGCTTTTTAATTTGAATTTTTATTCAAACAAAAAATAGAAGATTTACTGTTATGCAGACTACTGCAATATTGTAATAATTGTATAAATAATGTCAACCCATTCATGACTGCATATTAGAATGGCTACTTGGACATTTATTGGAAAATGACATCATTTGTTTACTTTTGAACATCGGCAAAAATCAAACATTTCCCCTATTTTGAGCACCATTTCAAGGTTCTTTTCATAGTAAAACCAATCAAAATCACCTCTATTTCTATAATATGTTTTCCATTCTATCAAATGAGACCAAGAAAACGAGAATACAACCATAAATACTACATGAAAATAGACCACAAATTCAGCATTTTAATTAAAAAAAACGGTCAGAGTTTTTTTTTTCTCATTATGCACTGCATTGCTGCAGGATTTTTTTTATATGGTGCACACTGACCACACAGACCCATTCTCTCACATGTGGGCCTACCGGCTTTCTCCTGCTTGATTTGAAGCCGCTAGAATTTATGAGTATACGTATGTACGTCAAACACAGTGGCTCGTAAGACGTATATATATGACCAAAACAGTCAAAGGGTTAAGCACTGTAAAACCCAAGCCCAATCTTCCTTAATCATCATTCAACAGTTTTCTCTTTCACACTTTTCAACTAATTTATAACCAATTTCTTAATTTCTCATTTTCTCACTTATGCAGTACTTCACTCTATTCATCTCCTTTCAGTTTATTTCACTCATTTAAATTCTGCATTGTTACTGAATATTTTTATAATCAAATTATAACATCAGTAATAGGTAAAGAAATTACAGACCAATTTTGCTGAAATTGTTCAGTGTTTCCACATAGTATAAAATGCTATAATGTAGCCTTTCATACTGCATTATCTTTCATTTCATTTTGCATGGTAGTTTTGTAAATGCTTTACAGCAATCCCCTAACACTGTAATTCATGGCTTCCTTATTCATAAGCATTTTGAGACATCTGTAGCTGAGTGGTATAAGATATCACGTAGGGAACTATGCCACCTTCTAAACGTGGATTCAAATCCCGCTGACCGCGATCTTTCTCTGCATATATGCACCTCCACTTGTTTTTGTGTGGTTCATTGATATAGTGTCACTTGTTATTATCAAAATATGTATACAAGAAGAAAATGAAATAGCTAGAAACCATGCCCGAGGCCCACTGGTGTGCCCAGTGCTAGGAAGAAACATGGTTTGTAACCAGGCTACCTAGCATTTTGAGGCATCTGTGGCTGATTGATCTAAGGCATCATGACACCTTTCAAATGTGGGTTCGAATCCTGCTGATCATGCTCTTTCTCAGTATATACCTCTGCTTCTTTCTGACACTGCTTTTGAGATATTTCAGTCTGAAGAGAAGTTGCAAAGATTGGTGGGCAAACTTGGAAGGGTATGTAAAACAACTTGTTGGTATTTTATACCATTTTCAACAAGGAATGTATGTTCATCTCACTGCTCTTAAATTGACTATTGGAATGCTTTTGGGAGTATAAACTATTTAATACATATTGCAGTGTCAATATTAAAAATAAGAGTAAGGAGCAGAGGGTTGAACGAGCAGATGTAAATATGGCTGACATCCTTCGCTTATGTCCCTGTTAATTTATCACAAAATACAAATTTAACAACTAGGTTAACACAAATTGTATATGAGATAGGTACTGTATACACATTACATATATCCAGGATCCTCTCATTCTTTAACTCTGAAATATGTGAATATAAGTAAGTTTATTCAGGTTAACACAAATACAGTTACACAGATTATCATACATAGCAGCATATGTGTAAAGAACCTAGGATAACCCAAAAAAGTCAGACAGAGTGACTTATTTCCAGGTACGTATATATAAATAGTGGTGGTAGTCTCTCATGAGCAGGTGCAGAACCTGTCAACCCAGTATACAAACATTACACCAGTATAATCACATTTTAGCTCTGATGATACAGATGATATGAAAACACTGCATGACTTGACTGGTATGCAGGAAATAGCTGATTTAGTCACATCTACTAATTAGACCTGTGATTCCTGTGGTGATAAACAATTTATACAGTGAATCCCCGCCGTTCGGGGGCCACAACTTTTGTGAAATCCAACTTTTGGCAACTTTTTTTTGCCAAAATATAGCCCCACAGTTCATGATTGGCTTCGTGATTCGGCAACTGTTCAGTATGCATCCACCGTCAGTGTGCACACAAAGCCAGTCTCCCGCACCATTCACACTCAAGTGTGCCACTGTTTACCAGCAAGTGACCATCACCCCACGGGTTCATACAATACATTTCATAATAATCCACTGTTTTTTGTGCTTGCAACTGCTTAATAAGTCACCATGGGCCCGAAGAAAGCTAGTGCCAGCCCTTTGATAAAGAAAGTGAGGAACACGATCAAATTCAAGAAAGAAATCGTTGAAAAATATGAGAGTGGAGTGCGTGTTACAAAGCTTGCCAGGATGTATGGCAAACCCCATTCAACCATCACTTCGATCGTGGAGAAGGGAAAGGAAATAAAGTGTGCTGTTGCTGCAAAAAAGGGTAGATGTGCTGACAAAAAAGAGATCGCAAACCCTCGAAGAAGTGGAGAGGTTATTGTTGGTGTGGATTACCCTAAAACAGTTAGCAGGAGATATTATTATGCAGTTGATAACATGTGAAAAGGCAAGGCAGTTGCTTGATAACATGTGAAAAGGCAAGGCAGTTGCATGACAACCTGCAACGAGTGATGTTTGTGATTTTAAGGCCAGCAAAGGCTGGTTTGAGAGATTTAAAAAGCATAGTGGCATACATAGTGTGGTATGGTAACCCCAGATAAGGACTTGGTAACAAAGTCTTTAAGGAAGGGGATTCCCCTTCCAAACAATAGTGCACCTTCATCTTCTCCCCTCCTCCCATCTTCCATCCACCCAGAAGTCTTCAGTAAAGGTAAGTATAATGTTATTATTATTTTATATATGTACAGTGGAACCTCAAAAATCAAACTTAATCCGTTCCAGGAGCTAGTTCTAAATTCAAAGTCTGAAATTCGAAGCAATATTTCCCATAAGAAATAATGGAAATACAATTAATCCGTTCCAGAACCCAAAAATAGTCACACAAAAAATACATTTTATAGAGATTAATTACAGTTTTACATACAACAAATACTATAGTTTTTAATTATGTATAGTACTACATATAAAATAACATTTTTACTTACCTTTATTGAAGATTGGTGATGGCATCTGGAAGATATGGAGGAGGAGAGAGGGAGTTGGGGTTAGTGTTTGGAAGGATAATACCCCTCCATTGAGGACTTCAGGTAAAGCCCTCTCTGGGGTTACTTCCCTTCTCTGTCTTTTAATGCCACTAGGACCAGCTTGAGAGTCACTGGACCCCTGTCTCACAAAATAACTGTCCACAGTCCTCTGTTTCTGGTGCCTCCTTAACATTTCCCTAAAATGGGACATGGTTCTGTCACTGAACTTGTTGCAAAGATGGCTTGTTTCAGCTTGCTCAGGGTGGTACTTCTGCACAAACATTTGGACATCATTCCACTTGGCACAAATCTCCTTAATCTTTGAAGAAGGCACCTCATCCACTCCCTATATTAACACCTTTCGCAACATCAGCTTCCTTGATTTGTTCTTTCTTTGACAGGATAGAACCGATGGTCAACTTGTTTTTCCCATACATCCTGGCAAGCTCAACAAGTCTCACACCACTCTCATACTTCTGTATTATTTCCTTCTTCACATCTATGGTGTTTCTCATTTTCTTTACCACAGGGGTACCACTAGCAAGTTTCTTTGGGCCCATGGCAGCTTATTTCACAGTCCCACAAGCACTAAACACAACAAAATAATTGTAAAATGCGTGAATGAGAGCGCAGGTTAGTGTTCACTCGAGCATAAACAAAGCTAGACTGCTCACGGCGCCTGCGCGGGGATGCGGACAGAGTGGGCCAGTAGACAGGTCCCGTACCCGGCGGTCCGAAAATAGGGGCGCGTTCGATAATAGGGACACATTTGTCCGAAAAAATGGTCCTATTTTCGAAACGTTCGATATGTGATACGTTCAATTTTTGAGGTTCCACTGTGTATACTGCTAAGTAGTAGGTTGGTAGACAGCAACCGCCCAGGGAGGTACTACCGTCCTGCCAAGTGAGCGTAAAACGAAAGCCTGTAATTGTTTTACATGATGGTAGGATTGCTGGTGTCCATTTTTCTGTCTCATAAACATACAAGGTTTCAGGTACGTCTTGCTACTTCTACTTACACTTTGATCACTACACATACATGTACAAACATATATATACACACCCCTCTGGGTTTTCTACTTTCTTACTAGTTCTTGTTCTTGTTTATTTCCTCTTATCTCCATGGGGAAGTGGAACAGAATTCTTCCTAGGTAAGCTATGCGTGTTGTAAGAGGCGACTAAAATGCCAGGAGCAAGGGACTAGTAACCCCTTCTCCTGTATAAATTACTAAATTTAAAAAGAGAAACTTTCGTTTTTCTTTTTGGGCCACCCTGCCTCGGTGGGATACGGCCAGTTTGTTGAAAGAAAGAAATTACTTGATTTCTCATTGTTTTCTGTATGTAAATCTTTATTTAATTTGAAAAAAAAAAAAAAAAATTTAATATTTTTGGGTGTCTGGTTTCGCCATTCATCAATTTCATCCTTCGGCAGGCTCTCTGGAACGGATTAATCATGAAACTCGGGGGTCCACTGTATATAAACGGTGTACACTGTGGTGGCTCTATGAATTCCAAATATGAACATTTATTATGGCAGTGACACAAGATTATCCCTTCATTCTCTCATTTAACTATTTTACTTTTCACACTTTATCAATCACTAATATATTCAATATCTGTAGAAATGCACCTAGGGGTGAATAAATAAGTAAATGTAAATGATTAGTTATAGCAAAATTATTGGTCACTAGCCTTCATGTGTATCACCTTTTCCCCTCAATTTACTCCATGCTAAATGATAATTACAGTGCTCACAGAAAATATGCCTCAATTTTTCAACATTGTATGTCAAAAGAGTGTTAAAATGATCATGTCTTAATTGACGCTCTACTGTAATTAAAGAACAGGATAATAAAATTTAAAGATATTAGAAGGAAATGAACAAATACAAAATTACTTACATTCTTGATTTTCACTTACTTGAGATTATAATCAAAATAAAACTGCTCTAGCAATCCTTGTACTCTCTGTGAGAGTGTAGCATCAGGTGAAACAAATGCTCCCCTTGTAGCTGACCGAGCCATTAACGTATATCTGTCGACAACGTCTCCATGGTCCCTTGTGATGGCACGGACTGTATTTACGTTCCTTTATAAAATGAAGAGAGTTGGTACATAGCCTGTATAATCATGTATAGTATATACAAGTACCAAGTAAGAATATTAAAGAAAATCATTGTTTTTAATAGCTTCAATATGAACTTTGAAAATTATCACAAATCTTATCAATCCACCTTTTATATATATGTAGTACATTTTTCAGCATAACCTATCAGTTTGTACATACAGTCCAGTGTTTTGTACTTCAATACTACATATTTTCCCTTGTTTTATGAGGTTTTGCTTTGCTCAAATTCACTTAACGTGCGGCTACCCTATTTCTACTAGTAATTTGCTATATGTGGTATACACTCTTATTTCATCACCCAAGCTCAGCACCACTTGATGTTTTAACTTGCTTATACTGATATTCATAAGAAAGGACTGACAGTAAACAGATTTGGGAGTTGGAAATCCAGTGAGCATATTCTGAACAAAAACCTATGATTGGTTTTCAATTTAAGTGTCTTGTGCCAAATTATAAGAAAATGGACACCTGGCATAAAGATGGGTTGTGCCAACACAGTGGGGACTATGGGTGGAGTGAGGAAGGAAAGTGGGGTAGGAAGACATGTATTTACAGGTTCATAATGTGTCTACTTCAATCAAAAACAGGCTGTTGTTGGTGATAGAGGAAGGGAAGGTAAAAAAGAAAAAAAATTAAAGGGAAGGATTGTGACTAATATTTGAATTTCATATTTTCTCAGTTGTTTAGACTAAATTAACTTCTTTTATGCATATGATCATTTGGTGCATTTGGTAAGCTATTGTTTTGGAGGGGGGAGTAAACATTTTAGAAACGTGGAATTTACAATCTTAAAATGAATGTGTGTGTTTTACATGCACTGGTTTGTGTTATGCACCACAGGGACAGGAATGTATCACAAAGTTAGGAGGACCTTATTAGTAAAACTGTTAATGTGACAAATGAATACAGAAAATAATATGAGAGTGCATACTTAAGCAATGCTATTATAATTATGTGGAAAATATACTGTGCTAAATTAAAATTCTTCACCAGTAAAGAGTTAAAATATTTTATTAATTGTTCATAATTAATGTTTTACATTGAAGCATATATGTGAACAGTATTTAGATAAAGGTAGGGAAGTTTTCATTGCATTTATGGATTTAGAAAGGGCATATGATAGAGTGGACAGGGTAGCAATGTGGCAGATGTTGCAAGTATATGGAATAGGTAGTAAGTTACTAAATGCTGTAAAGAGTTTTTATGAGGATAGTGAGGCTCAGGTTAGGGTGTGTAGAAGGGAGGAAGACTCCTTTCCGGTAAAGGTGGGTCTTAGACAGGGATGTGTAATGTCACCATGGTTGTTTAATATATTTATAGATGGGGTTGTCAAAGAAGTAAATGCTAGGGTGTTGGGGAGAGGGGTGGGGTTAAATTATGGGGAATCAAATACAAAATGGGAATTGACACAGTTACTTTTTGCTGATGATACTGTGCTGATGGGAGATTCTAAAGAAAAGTTGCAAAGATTAGTGGACGAGTTTGGGAGAGTGTGTAATGGTAAAAAGTTGAAAGTGAACATAGAAAAAGAGTAAGGTGATGAGGGTATCAAATGATTTAGATAAAGAAAAATTGGATATCAAATTGGAGAGGAGGAGTATGGAAGAAGTGAATGTTTTCAGATATTTGGGAGTTGACGTGTCAGCGGATGGATGTATGAAGGATGAGGTTAACCATAGAATTGATGAAAGAAAAAAGGTGAGTGGTGCATTGAGGTATATGTGGAGACAAAAAACTTTATCCATGGAGGCAAAGAAGGGAATGTATGAAAGTAGTGGTACCAACACTTATATGGGTGTGAGGCTTGGGTTGTAAATGCTGCAGCAAGGAGGCAGTGAAGATGTCCTGTCTAAGGGCAATGTGTGGTGTAAATATTATGCAGAGAATTCGGAGTGTGGAAATTAGGAGAAGGTGTGGAGTTAATAAAAGTAGTATTAGTCAGAGGGCTGAAGAGAGGTTGTTGAAGTGGTTTGGTCATTTAGAGAGAATGGATCAAAGTAGAATGACATGGAGTGTATAAATCTATAGGGAAAGGAAGGCGGGGTAGGGGTTGTCCTTGAAAAGGTTGGAGGGAGGGGGGTAAAAAAGGTTTTGTGGGCGAAGGGCCTGGACTTCCAGCAAGCGTGCATGAGCATGTTAGATAGGAGTAAATGGAGACGAATGGTATTTGGGACATGACGAGCTGTTGGAGTGTGAGCAGGGTAATATTTAGTGAGGGGATTCAAGGAAACTGGTTATTTTTATATAGCCGAACTTGAGTACTGGAAACAGGAAGTACAATGCCTGCACTTTAAAGGAGGGGTTTGGGATATTGGCAGTTTGGAGGGATATATTGTGTATCTTTATATATATATGCTTCTAAACTGTTGTGTTCTGCGCACTTCTGCGAAAACAGTGATTATGTATGAGTGAGGTGAAAGTGTTGAATGACGATGAAAGTATTTTCTTTTTGGGTCACCCTGCCTAGGTGGGAGACGGCCAACTTGTTAAAAAAAAAAAAATTAACGTCAATGACATTAATTTTTTTTTGGATTAATGAATCATATTCATTATTATAATCAAATAAAGTGTTAAACCAACAAAAGTCATGCAGCGTTGTGGGGCAGAAAATAGTGCCGGGTCTATAAACAGCTAGTTGGAAAGGGGATCAGAGGTGAGGGAAAAAAAGAGCTGGAAGGGATGCTAAAGGCTATACTGTACATCAAAGTTCATGTAATAAAGAAGCTGCTGACAAGAAGTCAAAATGTGAGCGTAAATCAAAGTCAGGGCCGTCAGCAAGGAGGAAGATAAAGAGTGGCAGAGTGGCAGCGACGGTGGAGGTAAAGTCTGTGAGCTTGCTAGTAAACCGGACAATCCACAAGAAAGTGACGAATCGAAACAGGGACCCGACAAACCTCACAGAGAGGAATAGGGTATCACTCCATGAGATACCCATGGGCAAGACGAGTATGGCCAAAAGGAGACGGGAGAGCACAGTCTCTTGAGTATGGCAACAGTGGTTAAATGACAGTCACAAACCCATCATATTCAGTAAAAATGTTAAAAACAAATAAATATCCACAGATACTGTACAAAGACTAATTACTGTAATTTTTAAAGAACACAAGAGAGATATACCCTAGGCACCAATTATTTAAAACTGTTAAATATTTACCAAATTTTATTAGGAAAGTAATATGGTAAACAGTGTAGCCAAGCTATATGCAATATTATAAATGAGAGCAAACTATAAATACTGTACCATACTACAGTATTTGTATGTAATTACAGGCATTATACTTTTTAATACACCAGTCATCTCCCACTGAGGTAGGGTGACCCCCCCCCCCCCAAAAAAAAAAAAGATAAAAGACATTCCCCATCATTCGTTCAATCACCGTTTTGCCAGAAGTGGAGTAACATCGTAATTCAGATGCCCCTCCAAACTGCAACATCCTCAACTCTCCTTCAGAGTGCAGGCACTCTACAGACTTGTTCTTAAACTCTTGGTAGGCTGGTCACCCTCAGAAACTTAAAATTTTCAATAACTTTCAAATTGTAACTTTTACAATTAACATGGAATCCCCACCAGGTAAAGCAGGTAAAGAAGTTGGAAAAAGTGCAAACGTTTGCAATGCAGCTAGTCCAAGAGCTGAGGGAAATGAACTACAGGAGCGGCTAGAATGGCTAAACCTGACAACACTAGAGGGCGGAAGGACCAGAGCTAACATGATTACAATATATGTACAAAATAATGAGAGGAATTGATAGGACAGACAAGAAGTCTGTTTGAGAAGCAAGTCTCAGGTACATGAGTTACCCGCTGAAAGCTAAAAACACAGACAAGCCAGACAGATGTTAGGAAATAGTACTTCTTTGGTCTTAAGAGTGGTCAAGACATGGAATAACCCAGACAGTGAAGAAATGGTAGAGGCAGAATCCATACACAACTTTAAGAATAGACATGAGAGGGCTCACACAGCTAGGAAAGTCAAACCAGTAGCAGCCAGCAAAGAGGTGAGGCCAGGAGCTGATATTCAACCCTGCCATCACAATCAGCTGAGTGAGAGAGACAGACAGGGAGTGAATGAGTGCATATGTGTGTGCATGTGCAATTGTACATGCATGTGCATGTGTGTATGCGTATGCAAGTGTGCATGCATATGCAAGTATGCATGCATGTGCATGTTTGCATGCATGCATGCACTGTCCTTTCATAATATGAAACAAGTCTTAAATGTTTTGTACTCTGGCATAATTGTTAGTCTTCTCTTTGTCTTATGAATACAAGACAGGTAAATCTTATAGGCTTCTACTTGCATTCAGCATAGAGTTTCCTGTATTTTAAGTCTTAAGCTGCTGATGACGTAAATTTGTGCTAACCATTCGACTAACAATTATGTAAATTTATACCTTGATTTTAATGCCTCCAAAATGGTCCCAAATAGCTTGGTTTGGACTACATCAGAGAAAACAGGTCTGTGCCATAGGTGTAGACAGTATAAAAAAATCATGTTGTATGCAGGGCATTTTGGGGGTCAATAAATGCCAGTTACAACACAACTTCCTCCACATGGCAAGCACTTATGTTGTCACAAAATGGTCACAAGTCACTGTCAAAGCTACATATAGTAGTGTGCATATTAATTGGGACAGTGATGAAGTGAGACATTTATTTGGAAAATTAATGTTATTTGAAAAATACACAATAATGATGACAGATAATTGATTTAATAAGAGATACCTGGAGAGGGTTTCAGGGATCAATGCCCCCGCAGTCTGGTCTGTGACCAGACCTTGTAGTGGATCAGAGCCTGATTAACCAGGCTGTTACTGTTGGCCGCACGCAAACCGACAGACGAACCTCAACCAAGCTGGTCAGGTACTAACTTATGTGATATGACTACCCTTTGCTTTTATAATCACTGTTACATGCTTTGGCATAGGGTAGGGGTCGGCCTAGGAAAGGTTGGAGGGAGGGG